CAAGTCACATATCATACTCGAGTACCCTACTCGAGCAGTATTCCGACGGAATCGTGGCGGGCGGGAGGTAAACCGGGAACACGAATACACACAAGAGTCCCCAGAATACGCGGTTCCTTACCGCAGCCACAAGGGCACCGGCCGCTTATGTGAGCGGATCTAGTGGCGGTAACACAATTTGATCCTTAGTAATACTCTGCTTATTTGAGCTGAGTACCAGTATCTGATTCTGGCGTTCCTGCTCGAGTGCCGAAACCACTCCATTTTTACCCTGACTCTCGAACGAGAGCCAATGCTATCCTGCCGGCCTCGCTACGGTGGAAAAACGAAATGAGAATTCTGGACTTTTGCATTCACTTATTACCAAGTTCGCTAGTATCGTACAGTGGAAGCTGTAATAATTGATGATCCTGCGAGGACCTTGGAGTTGCCTCTCCCAGTGAGGTCTGTTGCATTTTTCTTTTTACTTGCTCCGCCGAGAGCTAAAGGGGAGTGTGGCCGGGTTTTCTCCCCCCGGTCCAAAGGGGGAAATTCTGGACGTCCTGGCCTGGTTCTTACTTATTCCGGTTTTTTTAGTACTCGTAGCTAGTCTGCTGTGGGTAAGAAGAAAAAAAGTAATTTTTCACCGGCGCCAAACTCCTGCGAATGATACAGGTGCCCTTTGTACAGCACTTATCCACTACCGCTTCTTCACCCCTTTCCCGCCACAAAAACCTGCCCCACGATCTCGCCATTAGCGAAATTGCGCGATCGTGGCAATTTGTTGTTGTCTCGTGAATGTGTTTTGTGCTGTCCTGTCCTGCCTTGCTCCTCCCTTCCCCTTTCTCACCTCCCATCCAGCGTCTAATTTGATGGCCCTCCTTGTCTTCGGTCAAACACCGAATGACTCAAAGATCCTACTCCACCCAGGGATAGAGTTGCACTGTTGGACACTGCCGCCCCGATTTCAATCCGAAGTAGGTTTTCACTTACCGGTACTTTGACAGACACCTCACCCTTAGCCTATTTGTCAAAAGGAGGGAGGATGAGAGGTTTCTGTATCTGTGTAGGTGTGTTCACGGTGCCACATATTTTCGCTGACCAGCGATTATCGACACTGCGGGGGTGTCATGAGTGAAGGGGATGGACTGAGTGAGTGCAGGGATGGAAGGGAAGCGAGTGATTGCGTTCATGGTCGGTCACTCGAAAGGGGTGTGGTGTTGCAGGTGGGTTTCGGGGAGGGAGGGAAGATAGGTGCTGCGGCGGTGGTGGTTGCTACCTGGTGCAAGGCTGGTGCTCGAGTATTTGCAACGGTGGAATGTCAAGTATTGCAAGTTAGTATCATGGATTTCGGGTATTGTGTGGAATGTTCTGTGCCTAATAGTTGCTACCCTCCGGCAGCTGCTCGTATTGTACTCGAGTACTAGTATGATTCTTGTACATGCGCTACCCTACCCCGTAGCAATACCATCAATCGATATCCAACGGCAGTGATCTTCTTCAGTATGATATAATACACTACACTTCAACTACGACGCTGGTAATACCGGGAGCTGACTCATGAAACCAAAACCTGGTTCTCAAACTGTTTATCTCCAGCTCCGATACGTACGGGTACCGTAACTCACCCGAGGAACGACACCACCCAAACCTTCCGTATAGTAGCGAAATTTCTACTCGAGTACCGTGGGTAAACTCGACCCTCTATACCGCATTATCTGCCGCTAGTACGCCGAAATAAGGGTCTCCTTTGTGATCTGTCTCAAATTTGCAACAGACTTCTCCGCTTAGCCCTTATGGCCAAAAACATCCCTATCTTGGACTCTTCCTGACTATTGAATGGTTTATTCCATCCCCTACTTGATTTCAACGTACAAGTACTAGCCGCGAGCGGGTCTTCCCGGACGGCGCAGTGCTTCATGGGGCAGCCACTATTTCTCTAGGGGCCTAATCCTGTGGCTAATGCGCTTTCGCCCGGTTATGGTAGCAACCTCCATACGGATAGAGGCAGGCTGGGCTTACCCGGAATTTACAGTATCATTCGGTAGCCATGTGCAGTTAAGATGATGGTGGCGCTCTGTGATGAGGCGAGATCACTTGGCTAGAATCGTCTCCCTCCGGCTCGAAAGTGAGTGGCTTTACGGCACAGTTAAGGTTTTCAGCGTGCCACCAACTGAAATCCGAGTGATCGATCGTGATCTCAATCTTTGGTCAAAAGTGAAAGAGATGGAGAGTGGGTCTGGAGGTAGCACCGTGGTGTGTGATGCTTACTCCAGGGGCGGTTTCAAATCCTCGAGTGGCGTAGTGGGAGAGCTGGATTTGGGGGTTCCAGTGGGGTATGCTCTTCACCGGGAAGGAAATCTTCGAGAAAGTTTACTCGAGTAGGGGATCGAGTGTCGTAATTTTCATCATCGTCGAGGAACTCTTCAACTGTGCAGCGTTTTTTTTTTTTTTTCCCTTCAAATACCAGCACTGTGCCTGTTTTTATTCCAATAATAGCTTGACAACTTTGGTGTGCTGCATCGATTCACTGCTCCACCCTCTATTACAGGGGAAATTTGTTGAGTTGTTCCGAGTTCTGTGAACCTCATTTATATCAGAACTACACTTCTCTTCACGTCATCTTTGACAAGATTGCACGGGTGACATGTGCTTGATCTATGAATACGGTATTTGAGCTTCTGACTTTCTTTCTTCTCGGCTGTCCCGGCGGAAGCTTATTCGTGTGCAATTGTCACATGAGATCTACAAGAGCAATATCCACCGTAATCAAGTCATCACCCTTATTTATTAGGATCGAACAATTCTTATTACAGTAGTATGATACCGGTAGGATTCACTCTGAGTGTAAAGAAAGAGAAAGAGAAACAGAGAGCAGGTGGGGTAGATTCAATCCACCGCTAAACCAAAATGAGCCGATTTGATGTTACTGTTGCTTTCAAAAGCAAACAAAATGACGGTTGCGGCTAGAATTTCCTGCCCCGGCCCCGTTGGTGGCTTGTGTTGGTACTGTCTGTAGCTTTAGTCTAACCCCCGCCTTCTCTCTTCACTGAGTTGAGCTCTAACTTATTACCGGTATATGCTGACAAGAATTATTCATAATATTCAAAGGAACACCGAAATTCCAGTATGATATGCCATGACCCCCCCGTAAGAGAACCCTAGGCCCGGAGGAGAGAACTTTCGCAAACCTCGCCGCGCACTAGCAGCCGCAGACAGCCGGGAATCTGCTCTTGGAAGAAGAAGTTATTCCTTTTTTTCCTTACTTCCTACTTTCCCTCTTTCTTAATCGCAATGACCCAATGGGCGACTTTCCCCACGCACTACCTCCACCTCCAATACCGCGAAAAATTACCAGACCAGTTCAAAGCCAACGGACCAACGCCCGAAATCGCACTTGGGGTGTGAGTGCAAGTTCTGTCTGAGTCGGGCTTATTCGTCGAAATTACTTTGCGTGTGTAACCTGTCTTCTTCCGCAGCTAGTCGGCCAACCTACACTACGGTAAATTTTTAGTGAAGGAATAAAGTCTCTCGGACTCTCCCCCCAGTGGCTAGGGAGAATCCCATTCTCTGGGCGATCGAGAGGCCTCTACCGTAGGCCAACCAGAGGGATTCGACAGACTTCCCTTGATTCCCCGTGCAACCTTCCTCCCTCTTTTAAAAACAAAGCATGGAAAAAGGGAAATGAAAAGAAAAGAAGGAGCTAAATTTGACAACCACACACCAGAACAGGATAGAGGGATACAGCAGGGCACTTCTACGATGCGATGCGAGGTGGCAGTCGTGAGATATGATTAGACACAGCACAGAGTAAAGTTCAGTGGCATCCTACCTTTTTTTGCATTCCGCTGCATTGCGGTTTCACAAGAGGTGCCGCATGTGCGTTCGCTACCTGCTTGCTTGTTCATGGTTGTCTTGAGAGGCAGGGTGGTGATTGGAGGGGTTTGTGCTATCATACTTGAGTGTCTATGGTTGTGACACAACGATTGCTACTGTATGGTTGGGTGTTTCTCATACTAGCTAGGATAATCATTTACTCGTACTTTGCTAGTACTGTGCCGTGCTTCCCTGTTCGGCAGAGAGGTGTTCGTGTTGATGAACAGGGTCGTAACTTTCTAGTGGAATTTTTGTTGTAGAAAAGCACAGCAGAGTAGGGGAGGCTGGGATCCTGTCCGTATTTACGGTGGGTTTTTTTCCCTCTAATATCACAAGTTGATTCATTCGTGATGGGGGAACGGGGTTTGCCGTCTTATTATTATGCATTTCGTCCGACGGGAGCCGGATCACGTGTGCATTGGCGTTCTTGGCGTTCTTGGCAGTGACAAGGGTAGTGAATTTCTACATTAACTCACTAATTGTCACTCGTTTGGTGATAAAGTGGTGATGTTTTTTAGGTAGTTTTTTTGCGCTGTTGTGGGGTGGGTAGATGAGGATGGAGGGGCAAGGTGTCTATATTTACTGAATATTCTATAGAAAGAGGGCGAGATGTATCGTATGATTATCTAGTGAGAGAGAGCTGGTTTGGGTCCGCATCGTGCGATATGCCTACCATGAGTGTGTATAACATGCCGGGTTTGGTAAGTGAGTACAATGGATCTGTAGATCCTTTTCGTAACGGTTCCGTGGAACATGGCTGGTGGTGGACTGGCTTCGCTGTGGGATCTGGGGTAAATATTCTGGGTCAGTAATCCAGATTCATGATACACGGTGGCTGTGGGGCCGGGGAATATAGGGTCCCCTCATGTTCTCCGCACCCTTGCCCCATGGCCGTGCTCGAAATAAGGACTAGGCATTAGGGGACTATATACTACAAAGAACCCCTTCAGGCTTTGGAAATACCGCCGGATAACCCTTCCAGAATTTGGAAAGCGCTTTTCCTCGCACAATACCGACCATTCTAGTTGCTTCTCGTGGGAGTCACACAATATCACTCAGAAATTGTTTACGATCCTTCCTTAGGGTCTGGAAGCAGGACTCTCTTCAATTTTCTCTATAGTTTGAATTCGATTGGTCAACTAGACCTACTGATCCGCACGGAAAATGACTTTCTGGACCTTCATTTTGTCAAAAAGATCATACCCTTCCTCCGCTTGAGTCATTGGCATGATCTTGTCCGCCATGAACCTGGCAGAATGTGAGCACTATGTTCTCAAATCGAGCGGTTTTAGCCTTACCCTAAGAGGTGGGACTTCTTCTTTAACAACTCTAGTGCTTCGGGAAAGACCGCACGAACAGGGCACCTTCCGAACTGGACCCTTACGTTTTTATCGTATGCCTCTTTCCCGGTGAATGGGATCTGGGGTGGTATTAGCAAGGGGTTTAAAGAGTGCTGGTCAAAGAGCTCACTTCAGCGTTATGCACTCCGACACTGATAATCGCTCCCCAGGGTCTAACTACGTCGAAACCCATTCGTAGGGCAGGGCTGTTTCCTACCACCTCCATGACAACGTCTGCACCTCTCCCATCTGTGGCTTCCATGATACGCTCCTTAGCGGCCTCTTTGTTCTCAATAAAGTTCAAGGGTTCTGCCCCAAGAGACTTGGCGAGTTCGAGACGGGAGGGAACAGAATCTATTGCGAAGATGCGTGCAGGGTTGAAGGAGGTGGCGGCGATGAGGGCGCAGAGTCCTACTGGACCACATCCTATCAGAACAACAGTTGCATTCTCACGCTGAGTCGGGGTAAGTTGGGAGAGGCCAGTGGACGCAGCAAAATAGCCACTATTAACGAGTTAGCTACCATGGAAGTGCTAAAGGGTCCATACGTTGGAAACTAATTGGCGATTAACAAAATCGAGAAACAAGTTAGGGAGCCGTAAGCTTACTATATCTGCCATCAATATCTGTTGGTTGTTAGCTAAGAATTCAGGGCGAATATAAACCTGTATCCAACATACCACTGTCTCATCCGGGATCTCTGGTGGAGCCTTGAAGAGTGTCCCGTCTGCCAACGGAACTCGGACCTAATTGACCCATTTAGATCTCATGCGAGGGTATCTAGCGAACAAACAAACCAACATATTCTGCCTGGCCTCCATCCAGCACCACAGAACCGTATAACATCGACTGTGTGCATCGGGACGTATAGCCGCTCTTGCAATAGAAACATTCCAAGCTATATCATCGTCAACAAAAGCCTACTCGCGGAAGCAATTGCCTCGCGTACCAAGAAGTTGTAAATGGGGAAACAACTTTGTCTCCAACTTGGAACCTAGCAACCCGTTTTCCAACCTGAACAACAGTCCCGGTGAACTCATGGCCCATGATAAATCCAGTATCGCTGGGCTGATGCCCACGGAATACATGAAGTTCGCTTGTTGTTTCTTGTTGGCCTGTATCTTCTAACCGGAATATTTCTGACTGAGAAGCTTACCTTCCACAAAGAGCGGTGTAAGAGATCTTTACGAGAGCATCTGTCTCCTCGATGATTTTCGGGATCGGTCTGTCTTCCAAGGAAATCTTGTGGGGACCTTTGAAGACAACAGCTTTCATTTTTTCGGACATTTTTGGTGCTGCCTTGAGTATTTGTGTATATTATGAGGTGGTTTATACGGCTGCAGGGATATGGTGGTAGTGATCTGGGGGGTGGATGGAGTTGCGGTTCTACGGTTCGCGGTTATGCTGGGTATGGTGGGGGTTGGATGAGCCGAGGTTGGTGCGAGTATTCTGGCACCTTAGATCGCGAGACAACGGAGCTGGAGTCCTACTGGTACTGTATGATACTTAGGTATGGTGCATACGCTCCGGTATTCATTCATACACTGGATCTTAATGTTTATTGGTGTGTCCAGTTTTCTACAGCGCCGTGAATACTCGAGTATAGTGCAGTAGGAAAACTCTTTTCGCTTAGACTAAACATTAAGAGGAAATCTGGTCAGTAGCCCCCCATACTAAACACTTTAGGGGGTGTTTGGCCCGCCATTTATGATTTCAAATCGCGATTTGAGATCAGGTCTTGGCAAGATTAACTTAGATTATTAGTTCTATTAATCTTGTACCTAGTTCAATATGGAAATAATAATCTAAGTTAAAGTTGTTAAGACCTGATCTCAAGTAGTGATTTGAAATCATATGTGGCATGCCAAACACCCCCTTAACCTTTACATTCGATAGAAGGTTCTGGTGGCTCTGAAATCGTGGGCGGTGAGTCTTCTGCAGCCCAGGTTCTGCTATTATGTCTCATTTGTAGTGTTCAAACCATCAGTTTTCAAACCATCTGGTGTAGGTATCCGTTAGAGCCAAATGGATCCTAACAGAATCACAATATTGTGAATCTACGACCGATAGATGAGTGGAGATCCTAGTTCCCCTATGATCTCTGCTCCTCCGCAGTGCTTCTGGATGCCGTAT